ACACTACAGTGGGTGATGTTACAATTCTGATGGATAGATAATTTGTTTGTCATCAGAGAGGAAATTTTTGGATGGGATGTATAGAAAGCCACAACACTTAAAACAATCATAGACATATTGGAGAAAAAAAAAAACCCAGCAAACAAACAGATCATACAAAATGCGAGAGCATGGATGACAAATCAATGGCTCATTTCTACGCAAAAAGTATATAAGGAACAAAACTTCTATTATATCTGGCCTTTTTGGACATGGGTACCTGCGGCCAGAAGGAAGGGGAATGAAACACAGATAAAGTGGGTGGTCTGGAATGGATTATTTAAAATTTGATGTTCCTTTCGAAACGTATGTGAAATGACAGTTCGATATAGGGGTAGAAAAACCAAAAGTGCTGTTAGCAAATATGAAAGAAACATATTGCACCATAAATAAGAACTAGCTCAATAATACTTTGAGACAGAAGAAGCAGAAGACTATAGGCTGAACAGACAGATGTTATGTAAGATGTTAGTAAGTTTCAGATACTGTCACTTGTTCCAGCACTTGTTAATAGAGTGTGCATATTGAAGTTGTGATATTTATCCAATGTAATGCCAAGATATCTAAAATGCACCATCCTTTCAACCATCTCTCCATTAATGACAATACTGGAACCATGGATCAGTGTTTTGGAGAAGCTAAAAAAACAGTTCCTTAGTCTTTGAAATATTAAGGTGAAGAAACAACGCATTCTCACCCCAAGGCGTCACCTTTTGACCATGCTTCAATAGGCCTATTCGACGCTTTAGGCGCCCTTTAGCGTCAGTTATGACGCGATCCTACGGCGTCATCTATCTGACGCCAAAGGAAAACCGTCAGTAGTAGGTCTGGGGTAAGTGTAGGGGTAGGGTTAGGGTTACACGCGATCCTAGGGTATCATCTCACTGACGCTAAAGGGTGCCTAAAGCGTCAGATATTGAAGCATGGTGAAAATGCTTCCCAAGTGTCAGATAGGTGATGTCTTGGGGGTGAGAATGGGCTGGAAAGGTATCATTGCACCATGTGTAGGCTACTAAAATATGCTATGATGCGTTGATAGTCCAAAAAAGAAAAATCATTTGCAATTCACAATTCATTATCATGTGACCTACCGGCATTAGTTCAGCTCAGCCTTTTACAAATCATGTGACCTCTTTCTGTAGCCTCATGGGATAGTAAAGCGTCCATCGAATGCACACTTCATAAGTCATCTGGGCACTTTCTGCCTACTATGAGTACTGTGAATTTTGACATACTTCTTTTGCCAAACACTGTTTTTCGCCTATATGGCTAGTAGGGAAATATGTGATTTGGAAGGCAGCTAAGGTTGCATCTGAAAATGTGTCCAACAGATATTAGAAGAAAAAAAAAAGAAAAAAAAAAAAAGATTCACTAGCTAATATGAAATTCTTATGTCATACCAATTAACTGAATGTAAAATGACACAGTATTTGTGTAATTATGTAGCAGCCTATTGGGTTGATAATATTGATTTGCTGTGGATGTTGTATTATAAGGACTTTAATCAGTATAAGTGGGCCCACAAGTCCTGTCAATATATTCCGAATATTTTGTGTGCTTATGTGCCTGTGCTCACTGCCAGGTTTGAGCTTAAAGTGGATAGCATTCAAGGGTATTTCGTTGAAAGCGTTTAATGAAAGACCCTCTTCAAATCTGCTCTAAGCAGAAGGATGAGTGGAGAGAGGATGCCAGAAGGTTGGAGTGAAATTTAGTAGTTATAACAGAACAGTACTACCCCCTCCTGGACAGAGAAATTCAATTATCAAGCATTAACTCGTTTTAGAGAAGATTCACTCTGAGAGATGAGTTTATTTACAGTAAATGCAGTAATCCTTCCCTGGCACATGTGATTTCTTTACACTTTTAACTCAGTGCAGGAACCATTCTCCAAAACGTAATCCAAGCCGACAGTGTAGTTACTGATGACCTCATTTGTCTTTCATTGTTGTTTTGTCTTCACTTCTTTCATCAGTTATAATTCATTTTTTTTATCCTAAACTGTAATTAAATGTAGGAGTGGTGCATGTCTACCACTTGAGTTTTTGGCATGCATATAAAAATACTGTTTTACATTTGTGTGCAATATATTATTCATGATGGGGAAAGCAGTGAGATTTATCATTACTGACAGATTTACTACAGATAACTGCGTGATCAGTGGACATGTTGTCAGCACCAATGAAAATCATAACCCCATTTAATAGTGGGAGCCTTCATGAGATATATTTAGCCGGAAACATTTTATGATGAAAAGCTGAGCATTATCCTATTTGGTTTGTGACACATACAGTAGCTGTTCCCGTACAGTGCCAGCTCACTGAAATCTTCAGTTAAGTGAGGTTAGGAGTGTCACCTCCAAACCTACCTTCAATCCAAATCTTTATTTAGCCACTGAATGAGGAGATAAACCAGTATATTGGCCACAAGGATGAGTGTGGGGAGAACATGATAAACCGCCAGATCCTTGTTTCAATGAATATGCAGAAACACATGGTTCTGTACTGTGTAGGCCATTTGGTATTATTCTGTGTGGCTGTACAAATGTTCTAGTCCTTGGTTGACAATGAAGATTAATAAGGGGGACAGGCTGCACCTTTCAATGTTTATTATTATTCCATTTACACTACTGGATACTGGATTGCTAGTCACAAACTGTTACTGTATATTACTTCTGCGAACTGTGTAGCCTACTACGTCTGCGAAGAGGTGAATATGTGAACTGTGGTTATTGCACTTTCTTTTTACCTATAAGTACTCATACTATGCATAGTATGCTGTATTGTTTACTGCCTGTAATTGTGTCCCATGTGATCTGTGTATATTGCAATATGCGTGTTACGTTCATATTCTACCTGTGACTATTGTTCTGAAGGTTATCCATTACTTGTTATCCACACTGTCATGTCGTGGAGATTGTACTAAAGATTCAATTTTATTGTAGCTCAAGTTGTCATGTCTTTTAAATGTTATAAAATTATAAAATGTATTAGTTACCTTGTTTGTTGGATGAAAAAAAAAATGTTTTCTCTTTTTGTATGTTATAACATACTATATTTTTCATCAATTTCAATGTGTTTTAAATATGTTTCGGTTTATATGTTTTATGTTTTTTGAAAGACGTTTCTACTCTCTAATGCTCACCAAGGCTGCATTTATTTGATAATAAACAGTAAAAAAAAAAAAAAAACAAAAAAAAAAAACAGTAATATTATTAAATAATTTTACAATTTGGTGATTAAGAAATTATTATTATCAATTGTTAAAAACAGTTGTGCTGCTTATATTTCTGTGGAACCCATGATATATATTTTTTATTGATTTTAATAGAAAGTTTAAAACGGAATTTATTTGAAAAAGAAACCTTTTGACCAATTTAATCCTTGCTGAAAAATAAATAAATTAGCCTACTATAAAAAATAGCCTACTATATATTTTATTTTATTTTTATTTTTTTCCGAAAGGAAAATATAAACTTGTGTTGCAAATTTGTCTGTATATCCTTGGGCTGTGTTGCTTTTCATATTCTCATAATGAATGTTTTATCATGATATAATTTGTAGGTAACCTATTTAAATGTATTGTCTCTGCCGCTTGTGGCAATGGACCACCAAGGGCACAGACCCACCACTAACCAAAGAGACAAGCATGGGATTGGTGTTATTTTTTGTTCTGGTGCTGCATCACCACAGATATATTGCAGCAGCTCTGAGGAAATTAAAGGGCAAGCTTCTTGTCAATCTATTAGTCCTACTGTCAACTTGTATTACAGTGAAAGCCAAAACTACATAATGAAGCATGAATGTGCTTGATATTACAGCAGTGATTATAAAACAAGCCTTTTATTTGTCCCTAGAGGTTTATTTGAAAAGAAACAGCAAACACTCAGTCTGTCAAGACCAAATTTTCTTTCTCATGTGGGCCAAATAGTTCGATTTGATGCCATGGTCTATTTATACTATAAACTATCAAGCCATTTTTATTTATTTATTTATTTATTTATTTTTGGCATTTTACATGGACTTTAGTGTTTAGTATAGGCAACGGTAGCTACTAAAATCGTTGGACGTGTCCACCTCGCGGCGCCCTTCCCCAGCTCTGCTGAACCGGATAGGTCACCATATCAAATCAGCACGGTTGGCTTCAGAGTTCAGACCCCGAGGACACTTTTATGGTCACAGTGGAAAGTAGGCTATTGCATATCGCTCACAACTTCTTGCTTATTTATAGCCACATCATCATAAAGATATATATGCTCTCGAGCGATTACTGACGCAATACTTTCCCCGGATAGAATAGGTTTCGTTTGTTACAACGGTAGGCCTAAGTTACCGTAAAATAATATTCGTATAAAAATGAACAGTTTATAGCTTTAAAAATTAAGAATAGCTATTTATCTTATGCCCTATTCGATCTGAATGAACTCAAACGCGTGTGATGTAGCTAATGGTTGGCCTATCCTACTATTAAGTTACCTTTGATGACATTTTTCAGTATCCTATAGGCTACTGAAGGATTCCCTAACGCAACAAATTTGTTTTGAAATAAAATGTTCAAATGCTGGCTGGTTACATAATGACAATAAAGTTATTGGGTATAGGCTACTCACGGAACACGATGTAAAAAATAAATAAACTTAAATTAGTTAAATAATTAGTAATTAGATTACTAATTATAATTAGTAATAATTAGTAATTAATTAGAATTGTTAATTATCCTAAATTTCCTGGCAGTTATATTTTATTAATTTTTTTAATTTATTATAGAGAGAAATTTAAAAAGACTGTGGACATCCTAGGTGACATGATTATTTTTATATTATTATTAAGTGACATAGATCTTTTGGTGATCAATATTTCTAGCGTGGTAAACATTCTGGGAGGGGAATAATAAAACATGTCTCGTGTTGTTACAGTAAGGTAAGAGTCAAGCTCGGTAGTCACGAGGACACATTGGTGGTGACGTCACTCTATCTGCCCGGGGAACAATCAGAGGCAACGCGAGCGCCACTTGAATGGATTGTTGTCGGTGAATAACTTTGCTCCTGGTTTCTCCCCTTTAGCCCTCTGCTCGTATTTTCCGCATTTCCCCCCTAATATTTACGAGTCCAAATTGCACTAAATGGTATATGAATCACTTATCACCACTCGGAAAAGTGTGTTAGCAGCAACAAACCCCTGAGGTCTGTGTGTGCGGCTTAACTTTTGCAAAGTGGGTAAGTGCAGAAATCTAAACACTCTTTTCCCGTGTATCTTTTCCTTCCAATGTTATGCTATTCCAAATGGAACTCTGCTGAACGAAACATTTCAGACTTTACGCTGACAAAAAAATAGTTGTAATTTCGCTTCAATGTTACATGTAGGCTACATGCCAGTGTTGTTTACAATGATCATTCCTGTCAGCTATAACGTTAGTTGCGCACAATGTTGCCATTGTTCCTTAGTGAAGCGCGCGGTCAGTCCTGTTTGCTTTTCTTATCTAGTTGGAGTCTTTCTGAACACTCCATCTAAACTTTTCACTTTCCCGTGGAGACTCTTCAGGAAGATCCAAGAATATCAGTGACCCCAGTTTATGTGTATTTATGGAGTTTATAGAGTGTCTGGACGGAAGTGTCTGGAAGGAACTGCAAAATACTCTGACATAGTAAAATGTGCACAGTGAACATGCATTAGATTCAGTACTAATGCCACTGTAACTTGATCCACCCTGTTTTGCCTCCAAAAGCTTGGTCCTAGTTTTGCCATTAATAACAGTGCTGCTGACATGATCCTTTCCGCCGTATTGAGCAACACATTGCTTTGGAGTATGTGTATGACTAACTAAAGTCTGATTTTATTCAGGTGTCTTGGGGTCTGTTAAAATCTGAATGGACTAATATGAAGAGCCTGAAGGCAAAGTTTAGGAAGAGTGATGTAAGTATGACCTAGTGTACTTTCAGCTGGTTTGCGAACTGAATGGTTTTGTGCTGGTTTTGGGAATCATATAAACAGTCCCTCCATGAATTAATGAAGTATTTTAATTCATTTGGATTCTGAGGTAAAGTTTCATAGTCCCCTTCTGTGAATGTTCTAGACTGCATGATGAGTGAATGTCTCAGAATCAGACATGTCTGCAGCTTTATTATGATGACTGAGTCATAACTGGGAGTATAATTTTAAGGCTGAGAACTTCTGCACTCCTGAAGAAAGAATGAAAAAAAAAAAAACACTCCTCAGAGGAGCTTCCTGCCACCAGATGTGATTCAGCAATCATTTCTAAGCCTATTATAGAACAACATCAGTCTCAGGCTGAAGCATAGGAATGTGCACGAATGAAACGCTATTGCTTATAATTTCATGTTTTGGCTTGCCAAACCGTTGCCACTTGGGCTGAGTCAGCGGATAGAGATTACTGTGAAATTCTACGTGATCATCAAACCACAGAACTAAGCTGAGTTTTAATATACTTTCTGCCAGCACATGGTCACAGTGGCATTTTAAACATTTGCACGGAATGTTGTTAAGCGCAAGCTTGCCATCGCCACATTCACAGCTCATTATTTTGATTTTCTACTTGTATGGAGGCTAAATCATGCATTTTTATCTTTCATAATTGGTGGGCGTTTGCTTGCACAACAATGTGGTGGTTGCTTAGAAATAATACTTCAACATAATTTTATAGAGAAATCTGTCCGTCTTTGTGCAAGATACGGCATTCGGAACCATAGAATGGTTTCCAATGTGTAGTCCAGCCAGTTGGTTGTTACTCACTTTTTATATAGAAAAATATTTTTATTCAAAAAAAGGAATCTTCCTCTTTAAGTTTTGTTTGTGTGTGTGTTTTTTCATCACTTCTGCTTGTATCAGATGTAACCAGTGCATTCACCAATCAAAAGTCTTGTTTCAGTACTTTGCCATACAGGGTGTTTTCTGGGAAAGAACTAATCAAGAGAGAACAAGAGAAAGTACATATCCTCCTGGTTCTATTTTGGGTTTTGTGTGTCAGTCCAGAACCGTACAGGAATTTTCATGTAAGGCCAGGCTTTCATTCTTGTGCAAAACAGGAGATCAGAACTGCCAGGATAAATACTTTTACAAGAGTGTCTTGTTGCCAAGTTCTTGTAATATGTGATGTTACTCTACCAGCACTTCATGTGTTAGTAGTCCCATTTGAACCATTCCAGTGTACCCCAACATATTGCATAACAAAGAGTGAGAGATTGTGCTATTATTACATTTATTGGGATTTGTGGCATGTTTGAGAGGATCATAAAAAGCTTTTTCTTGCTTCTTGCTCAGATTTGCATGAAATTCCAGTCCTTATGTGTAAGGCACATGGCATTAAAAACAGCTTGTTGTAGACCAGGTTTATTGCCTCTCAGTAGGTTAGTGGCACTATTGACTTTTGTCATTCACTTGCAGGAATAGACCTTTTGTGCACACAAATCAATAGCAGACACATATCTAAATTTGCTATGTTTACATGATAAGAACTGCCTTTTATCTGATCAAGGATTCACTCACTTTGGGTCTGATTAAGTCATTGAGAATTTGGAAAACCTCCACTCCTACTTGGGGTTCTTTTCCCATGTTAGCATCTAGATATATAAGTTGATGTTTTGCAGACTGCTGCTGACATTACTGACGTTACTCTTTATTTATTAGCTTGTCTCTAACAAGCTTTTAATCAAATAACATTATTTTGTAATGTAGTTCACATGGTTCCTGTTTTTCATATTTAATCTCATTTAACAAACTTGTTACCTTTATTTCAGTGATGCAATGGAAAAGTTGTATCACAAATTGTTGATAACATTTAAGTGCACATTGTGGGCTAAATGCACTGTTAATTGCTTAACAGACAGTTTTGTAGATTTGAAAATTGCATTTGTAATTTGCTGGCTGTTCATGTTATATGGACCTTTATCTAGATTAAGGCCTATCTACACGAATATACAGGAAATGGAACTGAAAATTGCCTAGATGATCCTTATTTAGCATGAATGTGTCATTTTCGCTTTAGATCAGATGAACTTTCAAGTGTGGCTTTCCAACCCAGCCTCATGAAGATTCTTGATAATTTGTTGGAGACTGCAAAAGCATAAGAAATCAGAAAGAAACGGTACAAAAAGAAACTGCCAAAAACTAAACCCAACTTCACAACCCAGCCTTAAATATGTTCTGTGGATCTTTAAATTAAATATTTGGAGAAAGCCAATAGTCACCAAAACTGGTTACCAACAATCATCAAAAGATAAGTAGACAAGTAATAGGTGTTTCGGTTCGTTTTTGTGACACGCTAAAACAAAAAGTTAACGTAAAGGAAATTGAGACGGCAGAAAGTGGTATCTTGTTTGTTTTCTTTATTTATTGTAAAACCCCTTAAATGTTATGTTAAGGACTGGATATCGCTGCGGACATTGAAACTGATGACTGACCTGAAGGAAAATGCTATATCTACTGTAAATGCAGGTACACTCGCTTACTCAATCTCTCACATTACTCTACTCTTTAAGCTTCAGTAAACAATATCAATGTGAACGTGTTTAAGTTGCGAAGAGTGGTTGCTAGGGGTGTTGTGTAGTAATAGTTAGAATCTTTGGGTGAAGTGGCCGTGTTTTATCGTGAATAAAACACAGCTATTGACCAATCAGAATCAAGACTGACTGAAACTAACCATTTTATATAAAAAGTTACTGAATTTAATAATAACCTATGTAGTACAATCTGTTGGAGTTTTCCCCTTTTTTCCACCTTGCTTTTAAATTGCTAATGAAAGCCCTGTGGCTGTGTGCATTTTATATCGAATTAACAGCAATTTTGGGGTGGCAATTGCTTGAATGCTGGGTTCATTGTTCTTCTTAATGAAAACCACATCAAAACAGTACAACAAACTTATAACTATTAAACAGAACTTTTATTAACAAAACGAATAAGCATGGCATACACCATGCTATGCAGGGAACTATTAGCATTGGGTTTAAATCCAATTTTGCTTTGAATCTTGAACCAAATCTTACGCCAGCTTCTTGTCTGTGAGCTCTCCTCACTCTCATGACGTGATCAATGAAATCTGACTCCTGCGACACTCGTTTGGCTCACGCTGAATTAAGTTGATGTATTCAGTTTTTAATTGTTATGTAATGCTCTCTAACTGAACTAAATAATTATATTACTATAAAATCAAAATGACAGTGGGCAGGGGTGGACAAGTGATTTAATCGGTGTGTGGTTAAACACTGTGTATCACCGGTATTGTAGCATGCCTAGTCACAATACTGTAACGTTATAGACCTTATGCACCAGAGAAACGTGGGCGCCGTCATCTTTAGAATATTGTCTTTGAACTTCCGGTTCTGTAAATGTTTCTATGTCATGGCTGTCGAGGAGTAATTAGCTGGTGAAGTGGATTTACTTATTGTAGAGTTAACAAAAGTTATCATAAGCATTGTAAAGCATGACTTAACAAATGTCGAACAGGATTTTTTTTTTTACGAGCAGTTCATTCATACCTATGCAAGATCGCTGTGGAAATACAGACCGGAAGTCAAAATACAACGAGCGCAACGCTGAAAAGGGGCAGGGCTACATAAGGTCTATAGAGTCCATAATTTTAGCAAACATTGTGTGGCTCACATTAACGATCAGGTCAAAATGTTAATGTAAATCTAAATGTGTTAAGAAACATAATAGTTAATTTCTTTTTCTCGTCCAAGCCTGTTCTCTCAAGAATCTCAGTTCATGAGAAGACTCCCAGCAGACCGGATTTCTCTCATCTGGAACATAGTCATGTCCATGGCTCTTAATTAGTGTCCTTGCCCTTTTCCCCATTAACTGTAACCTTCAACATGATGAAACCCTCAGTAAAATCTCTCTTGTCTGTGGGAGATAAAGACTCATTTTACTCTTCCCATAAAGTCAACAGAAAAATGTGGATTAATGGCATCATAATGTTGTTAATGGTATTTTGGTTTCACCTTAGGTCAGTGCGTCCATTCTGAGAAGAATCCGATGCGTCCCGTGCCGAGGTTAAAGCGGTTGAGGAGGGAGGCAGGATTGTGATAAGGCTAGCTGTGCTTTTGTGGAATTACCTCATCAGTAAGATATGGCTGCCAGGGGATTTAGAAACAGGGTCTCTGCCATGTGAGGGTAAAACACACAACCCTTCATTACATTGTATAACCTCAAATGGCAAAGACAAACGTCTCCTGTGCAATATTTATTTTGTGGGTTGAATCGGAGTCTACGCTATTTCACAGGCCCTGTATAAGTATTCACAGTGCACGCATGTAGCATCCCTTCCCCATTTCTTCTCTGTGTTTAACTGTATTTGCTTGGCTGTAGCAGACTGCCCAACCGCTAATTCCTTTCTATCCTCTGTCATAGACCGACACATTTCATGCAGGCAGTCGTTGCTGCTTAATTCCAACCTTAAAGGGAGTGGATCACGGTCTAGGCTAACCATCTCGTAGTCTTTCCAAAAGTAGTTTGCCTTATAAATAGCACCTTCTATTGACAGTGCCAGGTGTGTATTAATTTCTTATCTTTAGATGTGCCAGCCAAACATTAAAATGACTGCTAAAAACAACATCAGTGAAAGTGAGGTTTATTTTAACTGACTGTACATGTCTGGTCATTGTCTAGTCAAACAACTGACCCCCATACCATTTCTGTTTTCAGTTCATATTTCATTGACCAATCATGTTTACAGCTCTCATCCATTTGGTCCAGGACACAATCAGATAACCTCAGAAAAAGGCCCAGATGACCAATCAGAGTGAATCTGGCAGCAGTGCTGTAAAGCGGATGAGAATGGGCACAGCAGGTATCCGCTTTAAGACGAGGGTTTCTGTACTTGCTCAGACCCAGCTGCCCGGCTCATAGAGATTAGCAAATCTAGCCCCAACACCCCCCCTTCCCTTTAACCTCAGTCC